AATTTAAATGACATAGAAATTAGATGATCTGGGTATCAGTAAGACTAATAATTGTATATGCCTTGAAATGTTAATATATACCTATGACGCTATAAGTGCATAATAATACAAAAACAAAAAGTAGTTGTCACCTTTGAAAGATATTGAGCAAACAAGAAAAATAAATACATAAAAAGGAAATATAAAAATAAACAAAAGGAATAAATAAAAATAAAATAAAGGGAAAGAGTAGAGGATTTATCATGTCTTTCCTACATGAACTGTAGCACTGAGTACCCAAACAGCTGATGAGAGGAAATTTATTTTTACAGCAGTATTCAAACCAAGAAATAAACAAGAAATTGAAATATGATATTTTTGTAACCTTCATCAATTATAGTCTAAATATGGAACATCAGTGTCTGCTAAAAACATAAAAAGAGAGACCAGCGGATATTATGTGGTTCTTCTAGATAAAGATCACAGAATAACCTATAAAACGTATTCTCCAAATCAAATCTAAATCTGATTAAGCCTCTAAATCAGAGTTTTCCAACCTCAACACTATTGATATTGATATTGATATAGTGGGCCAAATAAGTCTTTGTTCTGAGGAGGCTGGCCTGTTTACTGCAGGATGTTTAGCAGTATCCCTATCCACTATCCACAAGATACCCACAACACCAGGACCGCTTCCCCAGCTATGATGAACAAAAATGTTTCCAAACACTGTCCATGTCCCATAGAGGACAATACTTCCTTAATAAGATTTGGGATTTTATATGCCACATGTTAATAGTATTAGAAAAAATTTAAAAGATAGTTTAGAAACATCACTTAATGGGAAATTAAGAAAATCATATGTATATATAAAAAGAAGATAAAAATTTAATTTATAAATTCTGTAGAAATAATGCTAACAAGAAAATCTTATACCAAATGTAGGCAAAACAACAACAAAAAGTATTTAAGAGAAGGAAATTACTAAAGACAAAACCTGAAGTTGATGAACATGAAAATACAATCGGTAGAAAGGAAGAATCATACCAAAAGCTTATGCTATGAAATAGCAAAACAAACAAACAAACAACAGCAACAAAGATTTTATAACTACCTATTAAAAAGCACTAGATCCAGAAATTTTGGTTTAATTACCTAATCTTTAAAGTTTTAACTATTCCTGTCTTAAGATAGCGATCATTCCAAGTTTGCTTTTAAAAACTATTATGATAATTTCACAATATGTATAGAAAAAATAAAAAACTGCAATCAAAGGTAATTCAGTTAGAAAAAAATAATGTACAAAAAAGACAGACCACATTCAGTCGTACTAAAAAAAATTCTAAATAAAATACAAACAGGTAATATTTAGCAGTGTCCCAAATAATAATATGCCATAACTAAGTTTGGTTTAGCCCAGAATGAAAAGACATTTAACATGAGAAA